CACCACAACCTTCACCGACAACAACTGCCCAGATATACATTTGCTATCACTTATCATCTATTTCCCATAGGGTCAAACTCATAGTTTCGATACTACCTATACTGATGATCCAAGCCTGGCTCGCCAACCTACACCTTGCCGGGCATAACCTAAGCTACCTCGATCCTCATCACTCCTATCAACGCCCAGCTACACTATATACTTCCTTTGCGCCTCTAGAATCGACCAGCAAACCCTCCTCCTCCTCCTTAAAGCGATCTTGACCCTATATGGAGGCTGATCAGTCTTCAGCGTATAAGTGAGCCTAGACTTAACAAGTCCAGCTATAGCCCCAGTACCAGCAGCGAAAGCATATACCTCTCAGAATTCTCGACTATAACTCTATTATAGAGTCACTTTGACTAAATATTATAGATAATAGATCGAAGAGAAGGTATCCAATGTAAGGAAAAGAGAGGACTGCAATACAAATGCAGGATATAAGAACTGTCGGCGATAGGCCTAGTACGAGAAGCCTTAAGAAGAAGGTTGCTAGTCCAGGCACGATAGAGTAAGACAATATCGTCTGAAACGATGATGCTATAACCCACAACCGACAGCAAAAGTAGATGATTCCTTCTTTAGTGCCTACGGCGAGTGATCCAATATCTCTCGATCTACGCCAAAGCCCTTCAAGAGCCTCCACGTCATCGTCTCTAATAGCTGCGGCAATCGCTTCTTCTTTAGCTACATCGTCAACCATAACATCCCGCCCCCAAGGACCTCTGTCACAACATTCTTGGCCATCGTCGTCAGCAGCAACATCCTAGTCGGTCCAAACCCGATCACTTAGTCCGGTCAAATGAGCTGATGACCTCCGCAAGCTGCAACAACCTATAGTCTAGGAAGCTCTCGATGCCGGCCCTTTACAATAAGTGCTTCGGGCCAATGGCGCTGATAGGTGGCTCTTTTCGAAAGTATAAGAGACAAGGCAGAGCGAGGCCGAGCATATCTTCCGGGGAAGCTGAAAGAGATCTTGGTTGGCGAATTAGACCTCGAACTTCCTTATGATGAATTCATGTTTGACTCCGTTCTCCCGCCAACTCCAAGTAGCAATCAGGATATAGCAAGGTCGCCTGAGAAAGCTAGTGACAAGATACAAGGAGACGACTATTTAGGGATAGAGGCTTTATTAGCGCATCAATACCGAGCACTCTCATATTACGACGAACTCCTACAGCTACGACAGATAGTAGCCAACACTTACGCCTTCAGGACACTGCCTCAATCTAAGCCAGCTTGGAACGAAAGCATCCACTACCCGATATTGAAACTCACGCTAGAATGCCACAACCGAAGTTCTTCTGACGGTGGGCGATAGCAGCACTCGGTCGATGTAGAGAATGTCACTTGTGCAACCATCGTAAAGCCCTTCTCCCCTCCTACGGACCAGACCGTCACAGCATAGTCTCTTGGCAGTAAAATGATCGATTACGCCCTAGTTCTCCGCCCGTCTGCAGACTCCGACCTTACACACCATATCGCCGCCTTCGTCGACGCCCAGCCCCCACAGACGCAGTTCTTCAACCAGACCTAGTATGGACCGCTTCAGAATTCCCCCAGCAGCGTTTTTGTCGAGACCAAAACTGATGGCAGCGGTTATATGGAGGCGTAGGCACAGTTGGGAATGTAGGCTGTAAGCTGGTTCCATCGTGTCAGAAGCTTTTCCTTGGCTATGGTGTCGGCGTCAGTATCAACGGCGGGCGAATCCAAAACAAGAGAAAAATCCCACCTTCTACCGATACTACCAGTCCTGCTTACCATAGGGGACGCATGGGAGCTATGGTTCGCGATGGACGGCGAGAAGGATATCAGGGTTATAGGGCCTCTCGATATTGGCTCGACAGCTAGCTTGGATAGAAGCTACCGGCTACTGGCAGCGCTAAGAAGGCTGGTCGCCTGGACACAGGGGCCATTTCAATCATAGGTTAGGGATGTTGTTAAACTCTAGGGATGGTTGGTTTGTTTGGAGTAGCCCGGAGGGTATATTAGAGTTATTCT